ATAAATACTCAAGTAAAGTACAAATACCTAAAAATTCCACTTAAATAAGTAACAAAATATTTGTACTTTGTTACTTCCCGGCTCTGCCTCTGAGAAACAGAAACACGAGAAAGGTGAAGTAGCTAAAGATAAAAAAATTTAAAAAAATCTCCATTTTTAAATGCATATGTGGTAAAATATGCAATTACTTGCCTAATTATGTCTGAGGTATTTTTTTTTAGGGATTAAAGAACTTTTGTCAAAATTATGGCATCTTACTTCCTCTTTCTGCTGATGATCACATTTAAATGATTTTTGACACAGTTAAGACCTTTGTTACACTTGACTGAATTATATCAGGATATGCTAATTTACCAACCAATACTTCTCTTTTAAAGGGTAGGTGTGATTTGAGACAATATTGTAACTTTCTATATAAAATTAGCATTTCACATCATTGCACAAGAGAAAATATTTTTGGTCATTTCCTTCACATATTGATCCAGGCAGCTACATCACACATTTGTATGCCTACTTACACCACTTTTTTCAGAGTTTGTACTGTGAAAAATGATGCTAATGTTTCCTCCATTAATAATAATTTATTATTTCTTCATAGTCCTGACGAAACTGAAAATTTTTGGTAACCTTGTACTTTACACTGATATTTTATATTTTTGAATAATCATTAATGATCTCAAATAATGTTTCGTGACACCAGAGGAAAGAAAGTGATTGAGGTCCCTTCCTGGCTGCCTATACATCACAGCTAAGAAAGGTTAAAAGGTCTTATGTGTGTGCACATGAGCCAGCTTCAGCCTTGGATGTTATGTGTATTTTTGGAGAAATGCAGCAAGATATCAGCAAGGCATCAGCCTGCCAGACTCAAGACTGGCCTGAGGACGTCATGTGTCCTCGCGAGTGAGAATGAAGGAACATGTGTGGATTGACTCCAAATGGTTCTCATGTTTCCTCATTCTTCCAGTCTCCTCATTTAGGAACGTGTTGGGTGCCCGGAAGCGTAACATGTTGACGATTTGTCACCTAGCACAAAATATTACGCCTTGGGAGTGAGAACGTGTTGTAATATGCAATAGCATTTGTAAAAGAACTTTTTTAGACAGATACTCTTTGGAAAAACAGTACTAGCACTGGATACTGCATGTAAATGCAAAGAATATCTGACCTGTGTTCATTTTCATTTTTAATCTTTGTTGTTATTATTTTATTTTATTTATTCAAATTTATTTTCAGTTGTTACAGGCGGCATGTGGCTGGGGGATAGGAAAGGGAGAGAGAAAGATGAAGGAACAGAAAAATAGAGGGGAAGGAGGACAGTGAGAAAGGACACTTAAAAAAAAGAAAAAAAATCCCCTGGATCACCTGCTGAGAGAAGAGAAAAAAGAGAGAACAAGCAAAAAAATTCAGCAACATAATAAACACAGCACCATCACATTAATCTAGCTAATAGTAAATAACAGTAAATACTAAACATTGAATGTTGTTGTGCAGCATGCAGGACCGACGGCGCACAATGTGCTTTGAGTTAGCAGCCAAGAAAGGCGTTGTTTGTGTCTGTGAACACCCGTGTGTACACCTGTGTGCACACCTATGTGGTTCAGCGCACTTGTACTCAAAAGGTTTCTCCACATAACGATCTGCTAGAGCAGGGGTGTCAAACTCAAATACACAGTGGGCCAAAATTCAAAACTGGAACAAAGTCGCGGGCTAACGTTAATATTTATTGAAATATATTTATTCCTCCAGATATAAGAATGAATCTTTTCTTATGGACTCAAACACGTTTTGCTGAAAAACTGAATATGGAA